CATGCTGACTCCATAAAAGTGGTGAAAATGACACTGATATTAGACAGTCAGCTTGATGCTGTAGCTCATAGTTGAGATGCAAACAACATTTAAGTTGGAATGGACATTTGTGTATAAACAGGCATTAAATCAAAATCATCCTTCACAAAATCCAGCAGGATCTGAACAATGAACTAGGAATACCAAAGTGATAAGAATGCTGACATGATGTACCTAAGAAATTCATGTATGTCCATAAGAAAAGCCAATGAATCTATAGGAGATTTTTTTAGCAGAATAGTATCAAATACAGAACCATGGGAATGCCATATTTCCTTCTTCATTTCCCTGTGTGTCTCCTGATTTTGTTTGTAAACTTGACACAAGTTAGAGTCATCAGAGGAAGGAACCTCAGTTGAGGGAATGCCTCCATGAAATCCAACTGTAAGTCATTTTCTCAATTAGTGATCAAGGGGAAAGGCCCTGCTCATGGTAGGTTGTGCCTTCACTGGGCTGCTGGTCCTGGGGTCAATAATAAGGTGGGCTGAGCAAGCCATGGGTAGCAAGTCAGTAACCAGCATCCTCCATGGCCTCTGCATCAGCTCCTGCCTCCAGGATCATGTTCTGTTTGATTACCTATCCCAACTTCTTTCAGTAATGAACAGCAATTCTGAAGAGTAAACCAGCACTGGGGAGGCTGAGCCAGGCGGATCTCTGTGAGTTCAAGGCCAGCCTGGGCTACCAAGTGAGTTCCAGGAAAAGGCACAAAGCTACACAGAGAAACCCTGTCTCGAAAAACCAAAAAAAAAAAAAAAGAGTAAACCAAATAAACCATTTCCTCGCCAACTTGTCTTGTGGTCATGGTGTTTTGTCAAAGCAATAGAAACCCTCACTAAAACAAATTAGTACCAGTGTAGTGGGGTATTGTTGTGACAGACCTGACCATGTTTTTTGGAGGATTCTGGAAGGACATTGTAACTTTCAACTAGAAGTGCCATTGAGTGTTGAAAGACCTCTGTAGGATGTTATGTGGAAACATGGAAGATAAGAATATTGAGAGAAGTGTGGAAAAATGAGGCCTGATTTGCTTTTAAAATGTTAGAGGGAAGTTTAAAGAAAATATGAGGGCCATTTTCTATTTTTGAATTAAGAACATGTGGTTCTTGTTATGTGGGGCTGAAAAATCAACTATGATTAACAAGATACCAGAACTACTAAATCATCCTGGGGTTCTGGGTAGCCTGTCCTGAAGAATCATTGGTGATTAACAAGATACAAGATTTACTTAGGCAATACTGTAGTCGGGGTTACCTGGAGCTGAAGAATCAGTGGGGATTAACCAGATACCAGAATTACTGAAGTAAAACCTTTATGATACTGGGAAAGTAGAAACTGGTGAGCTGGATGTAAGATACTAGCAGATATTAAGAAGAGACCAGCATCCCTGAGGTGAAATCTGCCTGGAAGTGTTTCTTGAGATCACAGAGAAGCTGTGTTCTAGAGGCAGCCAAGGTTGTTCATGGGGGGACAGCCAGACTTGGTAATGTGTATGTGTGACCCAGGTGGTACTGGTTTTGAAGGCATGAAGGGGTCATGAAGATCAGGAGAGAATTGACACTGTGAGAGGAAAGCAGAGGCCATTGGTTATGGTGCACCTTTAATGGCATTTGAAGGCTCAGGAGTGAAGGGGTCTTGCAAAGAATTCGAGGCTTGGCATGATGAGGAGAGCCTATGAGATGATTTTGGTGAAAGTGCAGCCCAGTTGCAGCAGAGAAGCCCTGTGGCTTGGAGATGCCAGTGCAAGGGAATGACCACCAAGAACAACAGTGGTTGTGGAGAGGAGCTAGTCAGAGCCTAGAAAGTGAGCTGTGTATACTGCAGAGCTCAGAGCCAGAGGAGTGACCCCAGCCCTTTGGAGATTATAGTACAATGTGAATGGATCCCAATTTTCATTTTGCCTTGATTTGATCAAGACTGTGTCCTGATTCCTCCCTATTGAAGTTATTTTACTGGAGCCCATACTTGAGAGACTTTTAATTTAAAAAGACTTTGGATTTAAAGAGATGTTTTTTTAAGGGAGGAAAATTTAAGTATTGAATTTGTAAAGACTGTGAGTCTTTTAAAGTTATTTAAGATGTTGGTGATGAATAAGAAAGGATAGGATGTGGCTTAATATTGATATGTTTGTGTGTCTATTTACAAGTGGTCAGGTATATATAGCTGGGTTTATTTTGTCAACCTCACACATGTAATAGTCATCAGATGAATGAGCCTTAACTGAGGAAATGCCTCGATGAGATTCAGCTGCAAGGCATTTTCTCAATTAGTGATCAATGGGGGAAGGACACCATGGTGGGTTGTGACATTCCAGGGCTGCTGCTCCTGGGTTCTATTAGAAGCTGGGCTGAGCATGCCAGAGAAAGCAAGTAAGCAGTTCCCTTTCATGACTTATGAATCTGTGAGGCAGAGCTAGACAGAAATCCATGTGTTCAAGGATACAGCCAAGCATGGTGCCTTATGCCTTTAATCCCAGAAAGCGTGTCTTTATTCTTCGGGAGTGATGGTAGAATGCAGAAAGATATATAAGGCATGAGGACCAGGAACTAGAAGCATTTGGCCTGGTTAAGCATTTGGCTGGTTAAGCGTTCAGGTTTCTAGCAGCAGTTCATCTGAGAGCCATTCTGGATGAGGACTCAGAGGCATCCAGTCTGAGGAAACAGGACCAGCTGAGGAACTGGTGAGTTGAAGTAGCTGTGGCTTGTTCTGGTTCTCCGATCTTCAGTATTCACCCCAAAAATAACTGGCCTCAGGTTTTGTTTTATTAATAAGAACTGTTAAGCCTCCTGCTACACCTCCCTTTGTCTATTTTCTGGCTGTGACTCTGCTTTTCCTCTTCCAAGAGTTCTCTCTCTGCCCAGTTCTCCCAGCTATACCTCCTTCCTAGCATTCATTTTTTTATTACCCCAATCACAGCAAAACTTTTTCACACAGTGTATAAATATCCCACAATACACATGAGACCATATAGCTATGGATAAAAGTAGGAATTAATCTATTTTACTGTCACTGTGGGCACCAGACAGTAATGTGAGCTGTTGCAGTGCCCATCTGCAGATAGAGCCCAGAGCATACACAGCTACCAATATTCTTTTAGACCCTTAACCTACCTCAGCCTCCATGGAGGAGGAAGTCTCCCTGCAATGATACATAAGAAGGGTAGGTTCAGGAACTGAACAATGTTAGCCTCTTTTCTTTTTTTCCCTTAGCCAAAATTATCTTTAATTTTTATCATTTAAAAGATTTTTTTTCATTTTACATTCCAACCACAGTTTCCCCCGCCTCCTCTCCTCCTGCTCATTCTGACCCCCATCCACTCCTCATAGAGAGTAAGACTTCCCATGGGGAGTCAAAAACTCTGGCACATCAAATTGAGGCAGGTCTAAGCCCCTTCCACCTGTATCAATAGCCTCTTTTCTTGAACACAGAACCTTCTGCATTTTGGGAACTTAAGTTTTCACCTCTGCTTTTCAGCTTATAATTTTGATGACCTTCACAGTTTAGATGTAATGTATATTCATCTGCAAAACATGAGAGCAGAGAGAGGTCCTTTAACCATAACATTTACATGACCAAAACCTTCTTTTATCCAAACTACATTATAAAACAGTGTGAATGTTAATCATTCCTTGAACACCTGAGACCCAAGTACTCCTGAACCCAAAAGTGTGGTGAAAATGATGCTGATGTTAGACAAGCAGGATGGTGCTGGGGCGCTTAGATGAGATGCCAAAAACATTGTTGGAATGAACATTTGTATATGAGGAGGTCTTAATTCAAATCCATCCTTCACAAACACCTGAAGGATTCTGAACAATAAAAAAGCACACCTAAGAAGAAAAAATGCTTAGAGGTTGCTCCTATGGAAAGCATGTATGTTG